TCCTCCAGCTGACTCAGCTCCCGCTGCACCACCGACAGCAGAGCCTGCCAACACCGACAGCGTCTCGTCCTCTGACCCGTCAAACCGGACGCTGGATTTGGCGAGGTGAACTCACGGCTTTCTGCTGCAGTTCCTCGATCAGCTGCTGGTTGGCCGCCTCTCGCTCCTCCACCTCCTGGCTCTTCTGGTCGTAGTTGACGGCCAGCTCCTCCAGCGCCTGCAGCACCTCCTTCACCTCCTCCTTGGCCAGATCGTTCTCCGTCTGCAGCCGGCACAGCTCCTCCTGGATCTTCTCATAATCCCGCCGCGTAGACGCCAGCAGCTGTCACGGAAAAACAGGGAAAGAAAAATGAGCAGGTTTTAACTTTTAACTCCTTTAGGACCTTATAAAATCTGTTCTGAACTCAAAAAGTATGTAATTATTGTGTGAATGAAATCAACAGCTACACTGCAAAAATACACAATCTTACTACGTATTTTTGTCCTGTTTCTAGTGCAAATATCTTAGTCCACTCGAAATGAAACAAAACTAACTTACAAGTAACTTTTCAGCAAAATATCGGAGCTTGATTTAAGTCAATAATGAAAACGTTCTAGTTCTATTTGCAGATTATTTCACTTATTACAAAACATTTTCTCATGTTATAAGTACAATGATTTGCCAGTAGTAATTTTTTTAATTAGTAATAAGGAATGATTAACTTTAAACAAGCTTATGTAACTTGCTGACTTGCTGAGAAGTAACTTGTAAGTTAGTTTTCTCTTATTTTAATTAAACTAAGATATTTCCACTAGAAACCAGACAACAATAATTGTGTTTTCAGTGTAGAGGCCAATATTTCCTGTTATTCTGCATCATAAATCAAACAAACTGCAACGATTCAACAGAACATTGGATTACAAGATTTAAAAGTTAAAGAACAAAACATGAGCAAACCAGAGAATTTTGTCTTTGTAATAAAATAAAATCTTCCATTCAAAAATGCCTCACAGTTCAACTAAACACCAAAATATTTATCGCATTAAAAAACTGTAAAAAGTAAAAGCTTGAGCACACTTCCATATTGATTTTTTTAGGGACGATGACGATGTTTCAGTGGGATTTTTTCATCATGGCTGACCAATTTATTTTATTATTTATTATATAAATCATACGATAAAGTGAAACCAACCTCTTCTTGGTCCAACATTTGCTCTTTAAGCTTCTCAGCAAGTTGGCTGTGTTGGTTGATTTCATCATCCTGGAGAAACGAAACAACAAATAAATCCAGATGAATTTCTTCTTCTTCTTCTTCTTCTCCTTCTTCAGCCTCACCTTGTCATCAAGCTGCTTGTACAGGTTCCTGATGTCGTCCTCAAACGTTTTCCTCTCTTCATTGGAGACGTCGCCCCCTGCTGGTGGCAGATTGTCGATGATGGGAGTGTTGTCGTATTGCTCGATGCTCCTCTGGTCTTTAGAGCTCAGACGCTCCTCCTCAGGAACGTTCTCCCCTGTAAATATAATAATATCCTGTTAAATAAACATCTTTAAAAAAATTAATTAAAAAGAAAAGTAAAATAAATGTTATACTACTAAAATAATTATGTATGTTAAAGAGTAACATACATAAGATAATGCATTCATTAAAAAAATTACAACAATAAGAACCTGATTGAAATACAAAATTTACTGAAAACGAGAAAACGCTTTGAATATGGTTTGGTGTTGAGACCTTCAAAATAAAACAGGAAGTGAAGGTGGAAAATAAGCAGAACAATCAGATTTAACAGAACTAAAGGCCGAATGCTGCTTCAGATCAGCAGTGATGGCAGCCAGGAGGTGATGAAGAGCAAAGAGCCTCACTGCAGAAACACTGCATCAGCATAATGTGTGTGTGTGTGTGTGTGTGTGTGTGTGTGTGTGTGTGTGTGCTGCTTTTGCATATCTGAAGGCTTAAGAGGGCGAGTTGATTTAATGCTTAGGAACATTTTCCATCACCAACAAGGGAATTCAGCAAGATTTAAAACACAATGGCTGCAGAAGAGGAGGAGGAGTCTCAGTGGTTACTAGGCAACAGAGGATGAGGAAGAGCGAGGATGGGGACACAGTGCAGACTCAGCAGATTGCAGCGTTTTCCTCTTACCGTTCCTCCAGCGGTTCAGTTCAGCCTCCAGCCTCTGGATGGCGCTCTTCAGGCTCTTGTTCTTCTCCTTCTCCTTCTCGTATTTCTTCTTCCACTCCTCGGCGGTCAGCTCCAGGTTCACGCACACCGTGTTCTTGATGGTCTTTGCCCTGAACCCAGACATTAAAGCCACCATCAGTCCATCACATCATCTGCACACCAGGAGGGTCCAAATGTTTTGTCTACTCTAACCAATAAAAATAAAATGTCCTTGAAGCTTTAATCCAGCAATGAAAAGCAGATTTTAGTTTACAAATGTGTACTTTAGAGTAAAAGTCAAAGAGTACATGGCCTAGTTACCATGGCAACAGAAGGAAACCAGGAAGCTTGGAAGAGATGATCACTTTGTGTTGCATCTAACATTTCTGTAAGTAGATTTTTATTTAAAAGTTGTAGTTTTGTCGTGATTTATTTACTTTTAGTGCTTTGAGGGCCGCACAAAATCAGTCCACGGGCTGTAAATGGCCCCCGACCCCCAATTTTAACACCCTTACTGAATGAAGCAGTTTCCATGTTGGTTTCAACACCTGAGCTGCAAAAATCTCCACAAAAAATCCCCAAAAATAGCCACAAAATATATTTTCTTCCTGCAAAAAGTTGCTTCCGTCTGCATTAACACCAAACATTTTCATAAAGATAGAGAATAAACGAATATAAACAGAAATAAACCCAGATGAAGTCTTTGGACCATGTGCTTGTTGATTTGCAGAACTGATGCCAACTTTCACCTACAAACAGACCCTCATTAACCAAACCAAACCAGAGCTGAAACACTGCAGGCGAATATACATGACAACATGGTGGTGGCAGTATCATGATGTGGAGCTGTTTACACTGTCAATTCATTACAGAAAGTGGACACAATAAAAAAAGGGAGGATCACTTAAATACCCCAACTTTACTTCAAATCAACATCTAGACCAACAAGTATGCAGCAAGCAGCTCTGGATGGTAAGTCAACAACAAAACACTTGTCTTTTCCAGCAGCCATTGTACAGAAGTAAAACCAAATGTGCTGAAGCTCAGCTTGGGTTGCTAAGTAACGGATGGAATTCCATTACCTAGCAACCCAAGGTAGCTAGGTAACGGGCAGAGCCTGCTGATTTGTCACATTACATTCTGGAAGTTTTTGATACAACTCATTTGCTGTACACCAAAAAAAAAAAACATTTTGCTTTTCTCAGCGTTTGGACTGTTTTTAGAAGCAGCTGAGGCCCAAAATGTGAATGTTTTTCCGTTCACTGTCGCTCCAGAGAAGAAGCGAGGAGTACCTCTGTCCAAACATGAGCGTGGACTTGGTCTCGGCCTCGTTGTAGACTGACGGAGAGCAGCAGATGATGATGGTGGTGCGGCAGTTTCCTCCCAGGGAGTCCTGCAGGATGCGGGTCATCTTGCTGTCTCTGTACGGCACGTGGGTTTTCTGGGGGAACCGAGATCAGATCAACCATCTCCAACACGCCCCATCAGATCCTCAGGGAGAACCAACTCACCGTTCCCTCAGCCAGAGCCGAGATGACGTTTCCCAACGCCGACAGAGATTTGTTGATGTTTTTCGCCTCGTCCAGCACCGCCCCCTCTGCTCCGGTCTTGCTGACCTGTCAAACAGTCGGATTTTATGAATCGCAGCTCAGCGGAGGAATGCGGCCACGTTAATCTCAGACTGACCTTCTCGCTGCCGGCCAGATCCACCAGGTACAGCTTTCCCGACAGTTTCTTCTCCGTTTCGACGTTTTCCTGCTTGATGTTGATCAGGAAGATGCTGTGGCTGCGGGAGCTGTGCTCGTTCATGTCTGGAGCAGAAAACAGAAAAATCAGACTCTTCATGCAGTTCAACAGAAGTCCCTTTCCCAACGTGTCATTTAAATAATCCAACACCATTATTTAAATGGTGATGACAGATGACAAAATCCAGTTAAAAGATAGATTTAATCCATTTTCTGCAGCAGTTGCACATATAATTGTTTTACCAAACTGTGTCTTTTGGTGAGAAAAACTCGATTTCCCAAGACATTGTCTGATTTTACGCCATCCAACAACATAATGAAGATATTTAGTAGGAAAAGTAAACACTCACAGGTCATTTTTTACCAGCAAAAATCTGGTTTTGAACAAGATTTTTGATGTTTTTATGTTAATCTAATTTCTAAATTGAATATTGTTTTTTGCAAAAAATCTCTTTTTTGCGTTTTAAATGCTGTTTATCCCAGTGTTATTGCCCTCTACTGGCCAAAAGCAGGTAGTTCAGGGTTATTTTTGAACTTTTGTTTAAGGGAAATTTCATTTTGCAACAGAATATCCGCAGTATAGCAGCTCAAACTGAGTAAAAAGTTATAATTGAATAAATGTGATCAACATGTTGTAAATCAATATGTTGACATACTTGTCACTGCCACGTGCCGATTGGCCTTCCCCTCGTCGATGACGTCCATCACTTCCTCAGGACTGGACACGAAGCGCTCAGTGCAGCCCTGAAGCAGAGAGGAGGCTGGAAGATCATCATTTAAAAACAAAAACAGCTGCTGTTCATCTAAGATATGATCCACCCCTCACTGAAGAAGTTGAAACTCGTCTTACTGACCTTCACATAGGGGACCCTGTTCTTGTCTTCATGCACAGCGAGGTTCGTCTTCGACACTGAAAACAAAACAAAGATCTCAAATCTCAGCTGGTGCTTGAATTAATAAAGATCCTTAATGAAATGTGGTTTCCTGCAGGTCAGAATGTGGAAGTGGGAGAACAGACTCACCGTCCAGCAGGTCTCTGATTTTATCCAGGTAGATTTCAAAATAAGAAACCTGAAGAGAGAAAATGAACATTTAGAGTCTGGTCGCTATTTACTGAGAATTTAATCATTTTTTATTTATTATTATTGTTATAATAATAGTAATAGTTGTACTTTATTTTGTTTATTTTTCTATTGTGCAGGCAGTGAACATGTGGCTCTCTGTACCTTGATGTGAAACTCCAGGTTCTCGTCCATGGAGTAGATGTGGTCGAAGATGTCCTGCGCGATGCGAGGGATGATTCCCATCAGCTGCGGGTCGTGCAGTTTGCCCTGAACGAACCACACTTTCAGTCATATGTGTAAAATATATTAACAAATATTATCAAAAAAAGTTGATAATGACAAAACAAAAAGCCACAGATCTACGATGGTGTATAAAGGATAGAGAAATAAAAAGGAAGATTAAATTTAAGCCAAAACTTTTTGGATTAAAATTTAACATTTGCTAGAAAATACTAACATTTTGAGACTTTTGGAACTCTTGAAAATGTTTTTTTTTTTTCTAACAAATTTTCAACTTCTCACACTCAGACATTTCCAAATGTTTTCAAGTAAATTTCTGAGACTAATCTCAACATGTCATTGTTTTTTCTGGCAAATTTTTTACCTTTCAAACTCAGTGTTTCTGTTTTTCCTGGAAAATTTCTGAGTTTTTCTGGAAAATGTTCTACTTCTCAAACTCAGAAATTTTTTTAGGTTTTTGGTGGAAATGTATTCATTTTTGTTTTAATCTGCGATGGCCCAAGAACCCCGTCATACGGATCAGATCAGAGAATTAAGAGTCTTCAGGCTCTTTCTCTGGGGATTAACCAACTCCATTTGGAATAATTTATACTCATAAAAATCAGTTTCCGTAGAACGAAACAATGTTTGACCTTATTGTTTTATCCAGAGGCTTGGCTGTCTTTAGATTACTCTGGGTCTAACTCTCCTTAATTCCGTTACACAATCCTCTAATCCTCACACTGTGGATTAAAGTTCACAACAAAACTCTCGATTCATTGCTTGAGCCACCGGCTGAGCGTGACCTCTGACCTCCATGGTGTGGGTCTTTCCAGAAGACGTCTGTCCGTAAGCGAAGATCGTCCCGTTGTATCCACCCAGCACATCTACAATGAAACAGAGATGTTGGAAACTTCATAATACAACCCAGAAATTATGTACAAAAATTATGTTTAGAGGAGGAAAGGGATAAAACCAGAATATTTATTCAGAAATTTTGAATAATTCCTCAAAACTGCAATTTATTTACCTTTTTCTGTGTGGATTTCTAGGAATTTGTAACTTAGCTGATAATTGATATAAAGACAAAGCTGCTGATTGGACTCAAACAACACCAAATATTACCAAGTATTTTCAGTCTAGTTTCTAGTGAAAATGTATTAGTTCACTAGAAATAAGACAAAACTAACAAGTAACTTTTCAACAAAATATAGGAAATTATTTTAAGTGACTAATTCTTAAATATTGATGAAAAGTATTAGTTTCACAAATATTGGTTTATTAGTGAAATAATCTGCCAGTGGAACTAGTACTTTTATTTTTTAGCAACATTAAGGAATTACTGGCTTAAAAGAAGCTCATGTATGTTGTTGAAAAGATATTAGTAAGTTAGTTTTGTTTCATCTCAAGGGTACCAAGATGTTTCTACGAGAAAGTAGACAAAAATACTTGGTAAAATTAGGTGTTTTTACAGTGCGGAGAGATTAAAAATAGGCCTAGTAAATGGTTGCTATGGTGATATTATGAGAATAAAATCATAATATTCTCATATTATTACAACTTTCTTCTTGTAATGATATTTTTTCATTTTCTAATTGTGGTCCTCATTCTCTGTTGTACTTTTTCGGTTTTGTGAGAAAGGATGGAAACATTACCATAAAACAATGTATAATATCATATTTAAAAGAAACTGACAAGAAAAGATCATATAAATATCTTCGTGTGTGTACTGTTTGTAATAAATTTGCAGCCCTGGTACCTTTGACGATCTGCTTGGCACACTGCTCGTAAACTTGCTCCTGCGTCGTGTTTGGCGGCAGAACGCGGTCGAACACGTACGGTTTGCCCTGTTTCAAAACAAAACGGATCCAGAACGACACGTCAGCATCTGTTTCCGATCTGTGGATGAGCTGACAACACTTTAACTCTTATGGATTTAATGAATTTCTGCAACGAGTTCAGTCATTTTACACATAAAAAGCTGGAAAAAAAAGCTAATATGCTGCCCTGATTGTTGGAAAAAAAACATGTATTTCTAAATGCAACTGTCCCCAAAAAACGATTTTAAATGAACTTTTAGGGATTTCTGACATGGCCATCCATCATTCCTCCAGCTTCATCTCAGGGGCAACGTTTCATCGGTGCATAAAGCTGCTCTCAGCATTTAAAGGCAGCTGCAGCAGCACTCAGAGCCTTAAAATACAGCAGAGAAACTCCTGACACAAACTGGATCTGCAGGCAGGAAGCCGTTTGATCAAATATGCGACAGCACAAACCATGTAGAGCTGGTCCGGTTTGTCTGACTGGCTGCAGCAAAGCAAATTTAAAACTAAGGCCCAGAAATTTTATCACATTAAGAAACTATTTTTACGGAGAGAAATTAGTTCCAATTTTATTTCTAATTTACATTTTTTATTTTTAAATTTAAAAAAAGTATTTTAAAAATAGAAACATTGAAAAACTTCACAATCAAAAAAAATTTATTTTGAGAAAAATTTATAACATGTATACAGTAGTTGAACCTACATTTATACAGTTTGCCATTTTTTCAGATTTTATTTTATCTAAATTATCTTATTCAAATAATTTTCAATGTTTTTTTTATTGTTTAGTTTTTTCTGATTTTATTTTTTGAAACATTTTCTCTGCTTGCAGTAATATTGGAACAAATTTCTCTCCATATAAACAAACTTCCTCCAGTTCATATAAAAGGAAAAAAAAAAAACTTTGTAATTTGATGATAATAATTGAATCTCAAATGAAAATAAATCAACATAAAAGTGAAATTGACTTGTAGATACAAAAAAAATCTCCTGACTTAAAAAACAACAACATGAAAGCTGCACAATTGATTTACTTAATGAACAAGATAAAGGCCCATACTGATAAATATTGATACTAGGAGCATTAAACAAAAAGAAACCCTTTCTGATGGAAGAAGTTTCCTAAATCCAATGTTGATCAGGGCCCCAGATAATCTAGGACCGCCTCTGGAGACATTTCTTTTCATTTCTATGTTTTCAAGCACATTTTAATGAAAATATTTGCTCATAAGTAGCCGTTCCTAAAATCAGACATGAAATTTGAGGACCTCTGATATAAAACTGAACCTTTAATGCTAATTATTATGCAGTGAATCCCTGCAGAAGCCAGTTAAGCCTTTGTATTCTATTAATTTCTCTTCAGAAACCTAAACATTTGCATGTTTATTATCCTATTATCTCTAAATTTCTGCAAAAGGCGCGCATTTTTCCCCTTTATGCATCATTCCTATAAACGCTATTGCGCACTTTCCGTCCTGCGTCAGCTCAGCAGTCAGACTCACGGTTATCACCACGGTGTCGTCCTCCTTAAACTTGGGGATGTACTTGTCTCCTCTGGTGATTTCGGCCTCGTTCAGGGGCCTGAAGCGGCACATCACCTTCACCCCGCACTCTGCTGCATCCACCATGGCTGCTGCTGCTGCGGCGGCCGTTCAGAAGCGAAAACAAAAAAGCCTGACAGGAGAGGAGCCGCTAATTATTAAAGGTTGGAACCATTAGATGAAAGTCTATCGCTGCATTTCCTGGATTCCACGGAGTTGAGAGTTGAGCTCAGCAGCGCCGAGTTTCCTTATCTGCGCCATGGCCAGGCGGGACGAGCCGCAGCGCTGCGTCCCGATGCGGAGCTCGCAGCTCGGTGTGCGGGCGCGTCCTGCTGCTCTGCAGCCGGCCGGACTCTCCCAACAGGAGGAGGAAGCGGCAGAGAGGAGGAGGAAGAGAGGGGGAGTCAGGGCAGCATCAGCCAACAGAGCCGCATCGTCCTGGACCGCTGAGGAGACCGGTGCGCGCTCCCGGAAGGTGCCGCGGCGCGCGCATGTCTGGCGGAGACGCGCGAACATATACACACACACACACACACACACACACACACACACACACACAGCATACTGCCTCCGTTATCTTTAACACTTAAGTTACACATTTTTGTGCAGAAACAAATTTTCTGCTGCATTAATTTAAAGTGATCAAATCTGCTTCATTCTATATTTAGGATAAAAAAGCAGATTTTATTAAGCGTTTTTTATGAAATCGACTGGTAATACTGTCTAGATACTATAATATATTCATAAACAAACTCAGGTTCGTTTTTGTTTTTCTTAAACTAAAAGTGAGGCATTGCTACAGATAAGCAGGTTTAAACTCCAAAACATCACAAAAAGCTTTTAAAACTAACATACACATCATGATGCTGCCACTAACAGTTGCTATTAGGTTTAAAAAGCTTAACTTGACCTGTAAAACTTTACTTGTTTGTATTTATTCAAGTCTTAGATCATAATAGATTCTCTCTTAGAATAAACCAATGAGTTGTAGCATATTACAGCATTTTAAACAAGCTTTTGGAAAAAGTAAGAGTAAAAGCTTTTTATAATTCATATAAATAATAATAATCCCTAATTTTATCAAGACTTTAAGTCCATCTAACTCGTTTTGCTGAGGTAAATATCTGCAGATCAGTTAGATGCGCTTTCATTTGTACCCACTAGAGGGCAGTGTAAGACAAGAAACGCGTTTTATTCGGCTGCAAAAGAATCCAAATCGGAAAAAATACAATAAAAATGACAACATTCAAGTAAGAGTGAACATGTTTTTAATATCTTAAACATCTGTGCAACATTATTCAAAATGTTACATCACTGCATGACCTGTAATGTTTCACAATATTTACAAAAAAAATGCTGCTTACATCAAACCATTAAAATAAAAAAAAGTCCAAACAATCTGAAAATAATGGACTCTGACACACTATTCCTAACCCACATTAATGCAGAAAGGAAAGAAATAAACAAGAGCAACCAAGTGCACACGGTACTTCACGCAGGTCTATTCTTTTTGTAAAGTATATATTAGTGAGAAAATATATACTTAATTACAAGCCGAAGAGAAAGAAAATACTGACAGGAGAGGAAAAAAAAACACTGGAGAAATAAAAGATGACACTCACACCTCAACGCAGAATCACAGGCGAAAAATGTTTCCTATGTTTGACCACGGAGAACGTGGCAGAACATGGGTTCCTGACATTGCACACAAAACGATAATAAAATAAAACATAAAATCAGGAGCAGAATGAACTTTACCGAAAGAGTTCATGTGTTTGGAAGAGGAGGGGGGGGATCTGAATCGGGCTGTAGTGAGTGACCATACGAATAATAAAGTAAAATACAAACTAACTTCTTCAAGCAAAGAAAAAATTAAACCACTGTAAAAATTAGTGAAATTAGCTTTTCTTGTAGTGCTTAATGTTTTATTACCTGGATACAGTTACATTGTTTTGTAGTGTATCAATAAACAGGTTCTTAAAAAAAACAACCTAAAAATGATTAGTATTTTTTTAAATGGGGATTTTTCCAGCACTAAAAATATGTTTCCACTGACGAAACAGGAAAAAAAAACAAAAAAACTTTTGGGTTAAATAAAATAAAAATCAAAGAGCAAAACCTAAAACTCCCAATTTAGTTGACATTTTAATCATCCTAAGAGTCATAATCACTATTTTAAGCTGAATTTATAACAGAGTTAGAATTTATAAATATCAAATCTCTGAATCACATCATCTTGTCTTTGTAAATCCTTTTTGCCGTGATGTTTATCAAAACGACGCCTGAATAAAACCTTTAAATTTCACCAGTAGACGTTAAAATGTGACGCCGTTTTCGAGCAGACTGAAATCTAAAACTGCCGTTTAGAAATCCTGCCTGAAACTGAGAACGCAGCTCATTTTTGCAGCAACGTTTGCCTAGTTTGTCCAGATTGAACGTTCATAATTCCCGTTTGCTGAGCTCTTCACAAACACGAGTTTTTAGTGCTTATAACTCCTGTTTATAGAAATGTCTATAAAATCTTTAAAGATCACCAGCAGGTATTAATAAGTCCTGCTAGAAACAGTGTTTTTAAACTGCTGTTTAACAGCCTTTATAAGTTAAATTGGTTGAAATTGGGACATCAGGTTGGAGGGAAGAGTCAGAAACGGCAACTGTGATGGTTTAATCGGATGAGAATTCAATACTTGTTTTAAAAAGAGACGATTTCCGTGATTCGCGCTGGAACTGCTTTGGTCAGAAGAAACATCTTAAGTTGTGTGGAGTGTCTATAAAACTACAGAGCAGAGAGAAGTTTGAATAGAAAAGGAAAGCAAGCAGATGACAGGAAAGCAAGCAGAGCACTAACGGTTGCAGAAGATGCTGTTGATCCATCGCTTGGTTTATTGCACTTGATCATTCGGTAGCGATTTCAGGTTATTGATCAGGAGGAGCAGCAGTTTGATGCAGCGTTTCCGATACTGTCAGTACTGTAGTGTTAAAACTGCATTTAATACCTCCATGTCTGCATTTCTAAGAGGTTAATATTCATAAATAACATGGTTTTTATACCAAAACACCCCATGACACAACGTGTAACAAAACGAGGAATCTGAGCGCCAAACTTCTTAAATAAAAACGGGACACATGATCTGTTGTTCACCTGTTAAAAAACAAACAGAACAGAAAAAAAACAAACATACATATACACATATAAGGCTTTAGTTCTCGACTCTTGGTAGTATTATTGCCATCTAGCATATTTGTAAAGCTTAAAATAAATATGGAGTACTGTACATAAATAATTTACATCGACAAGCAACAAAAAACAGAAACAAAAAGGCCTCTAAATAAGAAAAACGCTTCCGTCAAGTTAGTGTTTCCTTTCATGATCTAAACTCTGAGGTTGGTTAGTCCACCTAAAGCTATAGTTGTGGCAAAAGAAACTAAAATACTGTACAGACAAGCATGAGAACAATCGAATCAGAGACGACGGCTGAAATCTCAAAGGAAAAATCCACCCAAACTCGTGAAACTGGAGCCGTTTGAGAGAAATGAAGCTTCACCGTCGCCTCCAGGTGGATTATTCCTTCTGAAATGCGCCTCGCCGGATTCGTAAACATGACGCTTTTCCTGTCCTGGATGAAGCTGGTGGAGGAAAATAAACACGGAACACTTTCTGCTGGTAAAGTTCATTCTGTTTTGTTTCTAAGCGAACACTCGGCCGATCCTGGACTGAAGAAACGAAGGGAAACAGCGCGACGTAGAAAAGCTTTCGGCTGCCATCTTATTCGTCCTACGCATGCGGCCTGAGGCAGCCGCACGTCTGAATAGAAACCAAGACATTGGTACACTTCTACTGCTTTGTTTTTGTACAATAAAAGATAAAATGTGCATTAGGTACGCTTGTACATGACATTGTACAATATTTACATACAATTCTTAATAGCAGGAAATTTCAGGATTATCTATATACATATTGAAAATGTATCAGAAATATTTGGACTGTCTATTTTTCTTAAATATGTAAGGTAATGCTTGTAGCTTTTTTTTTTGTTTATTTTACTATCTTATACTAGAAAAAAATAGTTAATTCAGTGAACTGTAGACAAATTGCAACTGTTTTTAATGTTTTTTGTTGTATTTTTCTTATTTTTCTCTCTACAGTTAAAACTGTATTGGTGATTGGAGTTTCCAGCACCTTCTGTGGTCAGTCAAAGTCACGTTGGAACAAGGTTTGTACCACTGAAAGTCCATGTGTAGCACCTGTTGAAGAGCTCAGACCGCCCCGTCCAGGACGTTCTGGGGCCGGACACATTCAATGTTATCTGGATATTTTCCTCCTCTTGGGTTTGGGGAGCATCAGCTGACGGTCCCTGGATGGGAGCTGGAGACGGAGGGGATGTTATCAGAGACGCATTTCATACAAGAGACAGCATCTCTGTCATAAAACGTCTGGATCGTGGTGGACGGACTGCAGGTTTCTGGACAATTAGTCTTTAAAAAGCCTGATACTGATTTCTTTCGTGTGGAAAGTTCTCAAATAATGCAGTGACTATTGTTGACTGTGACCTGTTGGGTCGCGCTCTTTCACAGCAGCACAAAAAGGGAAGAACATAAAATGAATTTGCTTCATAAAAATGTGCCAATTTCGAAAAAACTCACGTTTTTCGATAAGATTTTTCTGCAAAACACGAGTCGTGATCAACAGCCAGATGTCACTGCTGCCGGAAAAAATAAAGCCGACAGCAGGAAGTGATTGGAGGATGCAGGTCTGTCACAATAACACATTTTGTTAATGATAAATTGTCCCAGAAGTTATTGTGATAAACAATAATATTGTTGTTTTCAGACTGTTTTCCAAGTAAAATAATGGTAATAACAATGCAAGAACACATTCTCAGAGATATACAAGCTTCAAATTCTGATGAGCATTTAACACAAACTGGGAGGCATTTTAAATATCCAAACTAAATAAAGAAAACAAACAAATTAAATTAATTATAAAGCCTCTGTCAACAACATTTTCCTTAAAGAAGGCTAGTTGAGACCAAAGCACCAGACTGAGGAGTTTTATCATACAGTTTTTGGTTATTTGCATAAAATAATTGCTTGTTTTAATTTTGCAGTTGATTTATTGTGACAGGCCTGTGAGGATGAAGACACGGCGTGTTTTGTAACGACTTATCGAGTGAACGATTCATTTGTCATTTTAATTGTGCTTTTTGTTTAATAGAAACACTGCAATTGTAAAAATGATTTTTTTTTTTTTTTTACTTCAGTGAAATATTGGCAAAGTTTTGCAACGGAAACGCAGCCAGTGAACATCTTTAGATGAGAGCATGATGGGAGATGTTTGTTCCTTCATGCAGTCGGGTTGTAGCTAATTTAACAAGGTTCAGGTTGGAGGGCAAAGATTTTTCCCTCAATAAAGGAAATTATCATTTCAGAACTGTTACATTGTTATTTTTTAACACTTAATTGATGATCTGAAACACGTACGTGTGTAAAAAC